TGAATTGTACTACCATGTAATATTATATTTCAATAAAACTGTTTATGAATATACAATAGAATTCTGAGTACAGTCGATACACACCATTCAAAATCTGGAAAGGGGAAAGCAAACGTTACTTTTCCATTATAGCTTATTTTACCATTTCTGTAATGCCTGTTGCCCTTATAAAGCTTGAAACAGGTAGCAGTTTATTCTGTTTAAAATTTAGTCATAAATTTAAATAACATATTAATTAATAGAAGTTCAGTGTAAAATGGAAATGTACATTTTCCTATACCAAAAAAAATTATACAGAATAGACCACCTACATATAGTTCCTTGACACTGATGGAAAGAAAACACGAAGACTTTTTTAAAAGCAGAATTTCTTGTTTAATTTGTTCTAAGTTCCCTGTAACATAATTGTTACATGGACTGCCTTATAGTATGATGTCCATATTGGAAATGACAGAATCTCTAGGGCCATGTTCTTAGAATTCAGTGATAATCTGAGATCACACTTAGCACTACTTACCAAATTGTTCATTATATTCTGCTTAGAGTAAAATTTACAGTAAATGTTGTAAATGTTGGTTGACAAATATATGAGGTTCTGTGGTTTGGCAGTCAAATCTGTCAGATGGTTTTGATTAGATCTAATTTTCTTAAAAAAAAAAAAAAACACAAAACCTGTGTTCAACTTCTTCAAATTACCAAGCACTTTCCAGCCCTTCTCTTTCTTTACCCTTCCATGGCACATTCAACAACCCTCCTTTTGACAGTGTCCATACTGGCCTTCACTCATCATACTCTTCCTCATCTCTCCCTAATTTTTCCTTCCCAGTCATCTATAATGGCTTTTCTTCCTTTGACTTTCTCTTGGAATGTGTTGGTTCTCAGAATTTCTCTCCTTAAATTCAACTCTCTTCATTTATGTGTCTCCTTTGCACATCTTATTTATTACTACAACTTCAAACACAACCCACTGAGTTGGTGATAAATCACAAGTGTACATCTTTACCCCTTATGTCTTTATTGAGTTTCAGATTTGTAGCTACGCAGTTGGAATTGCTGCCCGTTTCTCTAAAAAAATCTGAAGTTCAAAAAGTCCAAAACCCAGCTTAACCTTAAAATGTGTTCTTCCCTCCATGTCCCATTCCCTGTTAATAGCACTACCATTATGTCCCTTGTTAATCAAGCTAGAAGTCTGATTTATCCCGTAGCAAAGTCCTGTTGATTTCTCCTTCCTCATATCTCACGAAAATGTGTTCTCATCATAAAGCCTATTCCATGCTCTCATCATTAATCACTAGGCGATTCATTATCTGCCCACATTACACACAAGAATTGTCTTTCTAAAATACTGATTTGCTTATGAATGCAATTTAAACTCTTCATAGACACCATAAATCACCTCATAATAAAAGCCAAAGTCCTTGGGAGGACTCTCCAGGATTCAACCTATGGCTAACTAGCTAAGCTCATCTTCCATCAACTTCCTACCCATGCTGGTACACTTTCCATGCTTCAGCTGTGCTCTCTTTTCAGATGCACTTATCTGTGCTGTTTTTGTTGTTCTTTATTAGTCTGAATCTGACTGCATTCCACTTGCCACAGTAATTGGTTCAGAATTCTAGGTTCAGGATAGCCAATCAGCATACAGTTGGTTCAGAATTCTAGGTTCAGGATTGCCAACCAGCATATTCTCCTGGCTAGAGGAATATAGCTCAAAACATTAGGACAACAGGGAAGGTGTGCTGGGTGCTCCTGGGAAAAAGTTTCCTCCCTCCTAAAAGAGAGCCACAGGAAGAGACACCCTCTTCTCCACTATATGTCCTGGGGTCAAAGGTCGAGCCTAGAAACTGCTACAGCCATTTTGCTCCTGTCAGTGAAGACAGCCTAAGGATGAAATCAAAGCACAGAGGGCATAGTTGAGCACATCTCAGAGAAACTGAACAAGAGACATTGACTTAAACCAACCTGATGTCCATGGCGTATGGACTTCAGATATGCAAGCTATTAATTTTTTGGTTTATGTCCCTTTAGACCAGTTTTTCTGGTATTTGCAGACCAAAGCCACCAAACTGATAAAGTTTTAAAGATTTTGATTTTGATTTTAGAGAGAGAACACACACATGCAAGTGGGGGAAGGGGCAGAGAGGGGAAGAGAACCTCAAGCAGACTCCCTGCTGAGCATGGAACCCGACGCCGGGCTCTATTTCATGACCCTGAGGTCGTGACCTGAGCCAAAACCAAGAGTCCAGTGCTTAAGGACTGAGCCACACAGGAGCCCTCCCTCCCCCCGATAAATAAACCTTTTACAAAAAGTTCAAGGGAAGGTTGTTGGAGGCACATTAGATATGCTGAGGATGAATGAAACCAACTCCTTTTATTAAAAGACTTTGCCTTTTTCAGTGAAAAGATTTATCACCCTTAGACACACTTCTGTGTATCTTACCAGTGTACTCTTTATGTTTGCAAAGATACTATAATCTGATCATGACATATGATCTTGAAGAAAAGAGCTGAAGCCACACATCCTTCTTACCATAAATATTAATGCTAAATTTAAATTTAAATTGATGGATAAATATTGGGCATGACTGCATTGAAATGCAGGGTGTTTTGATCAGTTAAAAAAAAACAACACTGAATTTTTAAAATTTAGGTGGGAGTCTACCCAAAAATGAAATACATTCCTATTGTTCATATAGGATTCCTAAATACTTTAGTAGGAGCCTTTTTCATACAATTATTTGGAAGCTAACCTTCTAAGTTTCCTAGTTAATTCTAAGAATTGTGAAACATGGGGTTTGGGTGCACTAAAGCATTTAACACAAAACCCGCAAATTTAATATCACTCCATGTGTTCTTCTCTGTTCCAGATTTTTCTTTTCCTTAAAAAAGAAAAATGTCAAACGTCTTTCAGTGTTCTACTCTTTGTTGTCAGGGATGGTGTTTGGAAGTGGAGCACAAAGAAGTTCTTTATTATGAAAGGAAATGCTTGGAAATAAGAGTTAATGCTTAAATGAAAGACTTAAGGTTTCTAACTTTTAAGAATTTAGATCAACCCTGGGCTCCATAAGTGCCTTGACTGTTGGTAGGACCGTAGAGGATCAGAAGACAGTGTGGGCTGTCTCACCTCTGCACTGCTTGGTACTCTACTATGTGCTGGTCTCTTCTATAGTCTTCTCTATCCTCAAGTGACTTATCAGTGCATTGGGTGATTAAAGCATAGCTCTTCTACTTTCCTTTCTATTCTGAATCCACGTTTGATTTTATTAAGATGCACGGCACCGAGAGAGCAACACAAGATGCAGTAGGTCCTAATTTTGCACACATGGTTTCATTTTTTTGGATTAAATCTGCTGGTAACTGCACTGCATTATGTACTTGCTTCTCATATAGTCAATTCATGTTAGAATTCTGATCCCTCTTAGGGAATTGGTCAATTTTGATTTGTCCCACTGTGCCTTCAGTGGCTAACTGCTAAGCCTCAAATGAAGATGTTATTTCAGGGAATGTCTGAATCTGGTAACTTTTTTATATGAGAACATTCCAAGAAGACACAAGGCTTATAGTTACTTCATGACACAGCTTGTAGGCAAGAGTAGCTTGTCAGAATAAATGGAGGAAAAAAGAGATTAGATCAATGGAGGAATTCAAGAAAGGCATTGCCAAGAGTTCTTTAAATTGTGGGACTTAAAATTTCTTTCCCGGGATGCTTGGGTGGCTCAGTCGGTTAAGCAGCTGCCTTCAGCTCAGGTCATGATCCCAGGGTCCTGGGATTGAGTCCCGCATCGGACTCCTTGCTCAGTGGGGAACCTACTTCTCCCTCTGCCTACCACGTCCCCTGCTTGTGCTCTCTCTCTTGCTTTCTCTCTCTGATAAATAAATAAATAAAATCTTCTTAAAAAATAAAATTTCTTTCCTTACATTTTTAGGAATATATTTTTTCCTGTTTTTTTAATTGATATGTTAAAATATAAATATGCAACTAAAAAAAGACTCAAAAGAAACTAAAAGCTCAGGTTTGCTTTTCCATAATCATTATGTTTATGACTTTTAAATCCTTCTCTGTATTCAGTGGTCTTTGCTAGCTATGTGCCTTAAAGAAGGGGGCCAACTCCTGGGCGTCTGTGGCTGGATTTCCTTCACAATTGCTCATTTCCTCTTAAATGTATTAGCAATTAGGTCCCAGTGTACTTAATTGTAGTTTTGTTTGACTTTCCACCTCTCTCTGCTTACTGAACTCTAGAAGAAAAATACATTAATGCTTATATAAGTGGCCAGGTTTTCTGCTTTAATGAAAGCTTAAAAGAAAGCAGATCTTTCATGGACGTGCAAGGGAATAGACTAGTCCAGGCATTGAATAAGCTGAATGGGTAAGTGCAGGGAGGCACAATAAGAAAACTGGACACCTCCCAAAGCCTCCCAAGTTTGCCCTCTGCCATGTTTCTGTGTTATTTTAGAATTAAAGTTAATTCCCGAATGTCAAATATACCCATATTCAAATGTAAGTACAAAAACACGTCCTGAATCCAAATAGGAAAAAAAAAAAAAATTACTTGCTGCCATCCATCGGTTCAAATAATTAGCATGAAAATCAGCTATAAATTTTTAAATGTATTCTGTTATTCCATATTTTAAAATGCAATCCCTATATGTGTTTTTTAAAGGCTGCCGTAGGATAATTCCCTAGTTGATATAGAATAGAAACTAAAACATTGACATCTTTACTTATTTTCAATTTAAATTGCATTTGTTGGGGAGGGGGAGAAAAGGATACAGAGTTTTGCTTTCTTTGGCATTGTTTACTGCCATGGGAGTTTACTTTCATCTCAGTTCCCATAGATATGTGTGAGAAATTCCTCAGGGTCTGAAACAAGAGTATATTCAGGGTTATATGATCTAACCTAATCAACCATGAGCGCTCTGATGCTCTTTAAAAAAATCCCCTGTACGAGCTGTTTAATGGATGCCTTTCTCAATCATCTTCTCCTCCTTCCCTTGATTAGACATTGATGAGTGCAGCATCATTCCTGGGATATGTGAGACTGGAGAGTGTTCCAACACCGTGGGAAGCTATTTTTGCATTTGTCCACGTGGATACGTGACCTCAACAGATGGCTCTCGGTGCATCGGTAAGCCTTGGATTTTTGAAGGCACAATACAGTGCTTCTTTATAATAACAGAATAGCCCAAACATGTATGAAGATGGCAACAATTATAAAACCGTTGGGAAAATGGCTGAAAAGGTTGTTTAAAATAAATGGCACCACTATTGAGGGATTGATAGACCAGGTGCTCTTTGCAAAGACTTCAGTTTCAGAAACCATCTGGGTTTGTTTTATGTTGTCAGGGTCATTTTGGAAATGAAGAAAGACTTCCTCAAGACATTGCTCTTGCCGAGTGCTAGAGACACAAAGGCAGAAGAAAGATTTTTTTTTTTAAATCTGCCTTGGGAGACAGAATGTAGTGATTAAAGCTTCTTTCATTGCTATGAATCATGAATGTAGTCGATGTCTTATTTACTTAGGGCTTGTTTATTCTAGTGAAAAAGAGTTACTACAAAAAAGAAACTGACACCTTTAATTTTGCGTTTTAAGTATATTCAACGTAAAGCCAGATATATTTGTATGTTTTCCTTCGTTTGGAAAGATGAAACAGTGTATTTCAGTCATGGTCTGGGTCATCCCTTATTGAGCAAAGCTTAAACTTAGAGCCGCCATCCAACAGTGAAGGTTAGAGGTATAGATTCTGCCTTCAGAATACTATATTGTCATCATAAATACTGGTAGAAGAATAGGAATGGCCGTAATAGAAAAAACAGAAGTAGTGGCAGTAAAAATAATCATTACCATTTATGAAACACATTCCATGTGTAAGGCACTGCACATCTATATTACCTCATTATCTCAGAACTAACTGGGGCCTTGGGCAAGCCACTGACCCCCCTGTACCTCAGTTTCTTCTTCTTAAGTGTGCAATAAGACATACTTGATTATGATTAAGAGGAGGAGAAGAAGGATGTGCCTGCACTGGACCCGTATGTTACGTAATTCTTATAATAGCTCTGTGTGATGGGTGTAATTATTCAGATTTGCAGACAAAGAAATTTGAGGTTCAGAGAGGTTAAGTGACTTACACAAGAGCCAGTAGATGGAGCCAATGTTCTAATGCAGATCTCTGGGGCTTCTGCACCGTGTTAGTCTGACACTGCACTGCCTCCTTAGTTACTTCAAGCAGGTGGAGACCCTGTGCCTAGATATCCAGGTCTCTAGTGTGAGTGGTTTCTCCAGTACTATGCGGACAATCTGCTTTGAGAGGTAGGATGTCTGCGTCCAGCCTCCCTCTCCCAACTTAAGAGTAATGAGATTTGAATGACAGTTGTTTGTTCTTTATGAATGCATCCAAGTTCCTATCTGACATTAGCTCAGACATCTTATGTGCACTATTAAGGCTAGAAAATGGAGAAAATTAACTGGTTTTAGGGTCAGTGTGCCCTTTGACTCACTGCATGTAAGTCTAATTCATTTAATTTAATTTTGAAGTCACAGGTCTAGGAGAGTTGAAAACTAGTAGGACTGCCTCCACTTGGCTTGATTTTCTAAAACTATGTAGGAAAATAATCTGTGTACACACACATACACATATTCATCAGCTTGAAATAGGCATGGATTCAATTCTGTAGGAGGAATACCAATTTGGGAGTCATCATTGAACATTATTGGCTCATGCCATAGACCCTAGTTTTAGGAAACTTATGTTGTAGAATATGGCTAGAAGAAAAAGGGAGGCTGGAGAAGTGAGGTTATTATTGTGAAGTTCTGGAAATCCACATCAGGTGTATGTATTTTATTTGGTAGGTGGAGTAATCGAAGGCCTTTGAGAATGGATTAGAATGGAGGTGGTAAGGGGTGAGAAGAGAAGCAAACTCATTAGAAGAATTTGACACAAATGTTAATCTTTTATATCATAATTTCCAAATTAATTTTTTGTATTTGATTTTTTACATTTCTAAATATTTATTTAATCAATTTGTGTTCACTTTTTTTTTTGCATTGAAAAGGAGGCATATTCTTCATTATATTCAGATAATCAAGATCAAGATTCCCAGTGATTTATGGAGATTGTTTTTCTTTGCTGTCAGATACTTCGTTTACCATGAAATTATGATAAATTCTCTTTATCTCTTGCCTGCCTCTATAAAGTTCTAAGTTCTTTACCTGGACATTCAAAGCCCTTTAGAACCTGGTGCCAGCCTGTATTCAAGATCTATTGCTGGGGCGCCTGGGTGGCTCAGTCAGTTAAGCATCCGACTCTTGATTTCAGCTCAGGTCATGATCTCAGGGTTGTGGGATCGAGCCCTGTGTCAGGCTCTGCGCTCTGCATGGATTCTGCTTGAGATTCTCTCTTTCCCTTTCCTTCTGCCCATCCCCCTGCTCATGCTCTCAATCCTTCTCTAAAATAAATAAATAAAATCTTTCACACACACAAAAAAGACTCATTTCTAACACTTGGGGCCGCATACTCACGTTCCTGTCACTGCTCTGCATGACCACACCGCCATGCCTTTGCCTAAAATGTCCTCTCTTCTGAAGCATCTTGATTTCCCCTTTCTGTGCTCATTGAAACCCGACTCATCCTCCAAGTCCCCAGTTAGAGATCACATTTTCTTCTTGGGCAAAATTAATCAGCCCACCCCATAATATTTTTCATTTCCTTCATTTCTGGTTTTATCACATTGCACAGATACTTGTGCTTTGTTTGTTGACCAGACCGTGAGTTCCATTGGCCTTGCCTTATGCTGCTCCCTCAGAGCCTTACATGGTGCCTTGTATAGAAGTTTGGCTCAGTAAATCTTTTAGAAATGAATAGACAAGCCATCAAATGGATGAAGGAGATGATGTTGAATGTGAAAATTTTGTGTTGGTTAATAACTGCTTTGCATCATTTGGCATCCTGCTGGACATGATGTGGTAGCCCTGAGTGATGGTCCAGAATGCCCCCAAGATAAGAGCCTGCTTGAGCTTCAGAGAGCTGAGGCACAGTGAGTCCTATGCTAAGCATGATTCCCCGTTCATTCCAGGGTCAACATCCTGACCCAAGAACAAAGGAGATCCCCTAAAGAGGGAAGAGTGGCTCTCCAAAATTATAAAACCATTGTTACAATTAAGTAAGCAGCTTAAAATTTTTTTGAATAATAAAAAAAACTTTTTTGAATAACTGTGTTACATTTGGAATAAGTATGTGTTTTCCATAGATGAGAAAAAAACAAATCTAACATTTTAATGTGTAAGAGATCTTTGATTTTGATTTTTTTTTAAGATTTTTTTTTTAATTTATTTATTTGAGAGAGAGAATGAGATAGAGAGAGCACATGAGAGGAGGGAGGGTCAGAGGGAGAAGCAGACTCCCTGCTGAGCAGGGAGCCCGATGCGGGACTCGATCCCGGGACTCCAGGATCATGACCTGAGCCGAAGGCAGTTGCTCAACCAACTGAGCCACCCAGGCGCCCTGATTTTGATTTTTTTTAAATCTGCATCTGTCTTTTCTTACATTGAATTTGTTTATGATTAAATTATGTATGTTACAGATATGTCCACACTATTTATTTTGTAACCACATCTATACTAACAATAATGAGTTGGATGGACTCAAAACTTTTTCTCGAGTATGAAACTGCATGTTATCTGCAGCTCTGTTCTGAGAGTGACATATGCTGAATGCTGCCCTGATTTCTTATTCTAGTTAACAAAAATATCCTGAGTGTATACCACATTATAAAGCATCAGTAAACTGCCTTATTTCTTTTATGTGTAGGAAAACAATTTCATATGGCAGAAGCATTTAGCTGGGCATTTTAATTTCAAACTAGGATAGTTTTCCCATTTTACTTTATACTAAATATAAAAGTCAAATGCCTAATGTAATTTTATCTAGTATGTTTTATCAAGTTTTTTTAAATACCCAGGACAGAGGCTTTCTTTTCAACATAGAGTACTAACGTATGTCAGTTCTAAAAAGAGTAGAAACATGCCTAATAATCTTTTTCTTAGAAGCATTTTTAATAGCACAGTTTAATGACCCTGATGTCATTTTGGAATACTCTGGCATTATATTAATACCTAACTTCCACATGGTAATATAGGCAGAGAGAGTGACTGGCAGACAGCAATGAGTAATTAATGTACTGATAAGAGCAATGAGCAAATTCTGTATGCAAGATGGTATGCCTACTGCTGTTGTGAACACAGAGCAAGCAGGGACCCTAAGCAGAGAGATTTGAAAGTACCAGTCAGCAACAAAGCCAGCAAAGTTCAGGAAATGAGAGTAAGCATGTAGAAATCTTATGGCCACAACATCCTAGGATGTTTTCTTGAGCCTTACAAAAGTTTCAGTGCCCAGCATTGTCTTGGAATATTCTTAAGAAAACAAAACCTGAAAACATAAACGTGAAAAAAATAGTAGTAAAAGAAAATGTTTAAGGCCATGGGTGATTAACTGCTAAATCATTTTGTAGGCGTTGGATTCTGTAAGTCAAAAATTCTTGAGGAAATCGGTCCTGCTGTAGACTTTGGCACACAGGTAGGAGCTGCACAAAGGGAATAGGGGTGTGCCAAGTAAGAAGAAAGGCATGAGAAAGATGGCAGACACAGAAAGTGTCTGAGGGGCTCTGGAGAGGGTGCGAAGAGTTTATCTGTGAAAGAGAGCTGAGGGAGGAAGTAGTTGGAGAAAAAACAAGAAAAATGGTTGAGATTAAGATTTGGTTGCTAATGTTCTTAACTTCTATGCTGAGGAGTTTCAGACTGATCCTGAGGGCAATGAGAGCCTATCAGGATGTTCGAGCAGGACATAGACCAGAGACGAAAATCAATGGGGGAAACAACTTTTTAAAAGAAATGAGGAAGGTCTTCATACAATGATTTAGAGTAATGACCAGGATACGCTGTTATCATGCAGATCCTTGTGTGGCCATGGATGTTGATCACATGAGCACGTGCATATTTGCAACAAAGCACTTGAGGGATAACCCAAAATGCCTAAAAATGTTTAACTAACGGGAGAAGGGGAGACAGGGATGTAGGAGTACACGGAGTAGTGTTTTACTTTTAACTTCAGAATCACATACAAGTGAACT